GTTTTTTTTTTTTTTTTTTACTCAGCCGCGTGGCAACTGATAGGTGGGGTGGGTGGGGGAGAGGAGCAAGGAGGAAAGCCTGCTCTGATACCAGTGTGACGGACCCGCCGGGATGGCGGTCCGTCAGGATCAAGACGAAGGGATGAGGATAGGGGAGATGGAGATGGAGCTGGAAGGGACAGCGCAGCTCCAACGCAGACTCAACACGCACGTACTCCAATCTGTGCAAATGAAGAATGAATCAAAAACAGACTACAGCTGGGGTATACCCCCAGCGGACTGACTGACTGAACTGGCCTGGTACCGACAGTGGTACCGGGCAGGATTGAAACATCACACGGCCTGTGGGGTCAGGCCACGGCCTGGTCCCACAGGCCGAACTGGCAAATAGCCAAATAGGCCCTGGCTGTAGGCCAGGTCAGATGAAGGTCCGCTGCACCCGGACTCCCTCCCTCTAATGCCGCTGAGCAACAAACCTGACTATCTAGGGCTATCCACGATGTAGGGCGGGGGCGAATACGCCCCTCCAAGAGGGCGCCTGTCGTCGCTCCTGCGGCCCGTGTGGGGGAAAGGGTCATGTGAACCGAGTCGCGCCAAATCGTCGACATCAAAACCGTCCTGCGTGAAGGCCTCGGGTCGTGTGAGAGGTAGTGAAGGCATTGACGGGTCCCTCAAGATCAAAGCCAGCCTACTCTCTGTCTCTCTCTCTCCCACCGTCGCCGCCGTGGTCGCCAAAGTCGCCACCGTCGTCGTCGTTGCCGCCGTCGTCGCCGTCGTCGCCGTCGTTGTCGCCGTGGTCGGACCCCTCCTTGTCCTCATCCTCGTCCTCGCCACCGCCCTCCCCCTCACCACCCACGACGACACCATCTCCCTCAACACCCGTGGGGACACCCGGTCGGGCCGCCCCCGCATCAGCCTCCCCACCAAAACCCCCTGTCTCCAACTCCCCTGTCTCTAACTCCCTTTGTTGGCGTTGCTCCTCCATATACGCGAAACGACCGTCCCACCCCGGCAAAGTCCGCAACCGTTCCTCCTCCTCTCTGTCCAGTCGGGCATCTCGGTCCTCCGCGGTCTCTACATGGCCCCGCACATCAGAATCGTCAAGGAGCACGTCTGACAGTGAGGTTCCCCCCTCGCTCGGGGCACTGAGATCCCCCAAACCCCCGCCCGAGCCGCCAACGTAAAAGTCGTCGGTGCGCAGCTCGAACGGCGAGCGATGGCGGACACTGGCGCATGATGGAGTCCTCTCCATCTTCGGAATGTCTGCAAGCCCGGCCCTTCATGGTGCTCGGTCGCTGGTGTCTGCTCCTCCGCTGCCGATGCCGACCTCGTCCTCGGCCTGGTAGGCTCGGGCGGTCCCGTAGTCCGATGATGAGAGGGAGAGAACCGACGATCCCGAAGGCGCACGTCCTCCTCCTCCTCCACCCCCTCCGGCTCGCTGCCGCTCCTGACCTCCCAACGTCTGCCCGTCTGCCGAAGGCCTCGGAGTGACTCCTGCTCCTCCACGTGCTCGTCGGCACGCGGTCGTCGTCAACGACGACCACCGGCTCTGCCGGTGCCACTGGCCTGACCACCGGACGGCACATCGTCAGTGATGACGGATGTGTGTGGAGTCATGTCGTCAGGTCCTCCGCCGTACGTGAAATCGACCCGCGCCGCCGTCGTGTCGCCGCTAACGGGAGCGTCGTCATCGTCTGTCCACTCGTCGCCCGACGTGTCACCGTCTGCATCAGCGTCCGACATCTGCTCCGACCATGGCCATAGCTCCACCGCCCTCTTGCCGAACACGTCCTGAACCGGGTGGGCTCTGGATGGTCGACAAGCATGGAAAGCGACGACCTAACGCTCAATGTCCTGCTCGCTGAAACTGCCAGCAGGTCGCGCTCCCCACACCTCGGGGTCCACGTCCCCCTCGTCTTCCTCCTGCCCTCCCGCGGTCTCCTCCTGACCGGTCCCCAAGGCCATAACCCAGGGCAACACGTAGCCACTACCCTGCTATGCGCACCCGGCCAGTTTGAGATTGGTGGCAATCTCAACCAGCTGTGCAAGCTTGGCAAAGCCAATCTTGTGGCGCCTCGCCGTGTTGATGCGCTCGTGCTGCGCCCAGTTCCTCTGCGCAGGAGAGGCGGACGTCCACAAGTGCATCACATGGATGGCGATGGTGCGCAACTCAGGGTGATGACGTCTGTGATCAAACCACCACTGGGCACAACGCTCAGTCTCACGGTCCCCCCGATAGTCGTCGGCCTCGGCATCGGACAGCTGCCGATCTCCCCAATCTCCCCGTCGCGAATGGAAATGCCTGATCTGGTCACGGACTGTCCTGTACAGTCTGCCGACCGGATCGTCGCTAGACTACGCGAGCAGAAATCTGTTGCTTTCCTTGACCACACGGGCGTCGTCAGTGGTCGTCTGCAACGACTCATAATATCGGAGGGACCGGCGGCGAGGGTTGAGGAGGTGTGTCGCAGCATGTGCGGGCTCGAGCCTGTGGAGGTTGCAGACAGCAACCTCGCGCACGCACGGCTCGATCATGTCCGCCGGCACATCCACCCTCCTCATCAACTCCAGAAGATGCTGACTCCACTCGTAAACGATGGACATCATCATCCCCCCTCTATTCATCCTCCTTAAGAGCTGGTGGATGGGCGACATAACGCGGATGGCACAGTCAACGCATCGCCAGAACACGTCGTCGCGGATCTGTTGCTGAACCCACCGTGCCTGGGAGACAAGCCTGCGCTCCCACGGGATGCGAGCCCACGAGTCGCCGTGCAGCATGCTCTCTAACGCGTCCTGCTGGCCTTTGAGACACGTCAGCATCAGGAAAACTGATGCAAACCGGGTCTCAACGGGCTCAACCAGCGTGACAAGAGGGTTCATCCTCCTGAAAAAGGCGAACGCAGCTCCGTGCGATTTAATAAATCGCACTAACGCTCGGGCATGGATGATGGTCTCTTTGACCCACCCCACTCGCGTCCCGACGTCTGACAACATCAAGTTGCAGACGTGGGTGGAACAAGGAAACCAAGTGATCCTCCTGATGTTTTCGTCGGGGTCGGTGGCGAATTTGCAGGCCGCCGCTATATAGTTACTGGCGGAGTCCGTGCAGAAGCCGATCACGTCCTTTGCAGGAAAGGACAAGATGATGGCCTGCCACCTGCGATACACGATATCCGTCGTGTGAGCGCCTGATCCGTCACGTGCGACGGTCGCATATAGCAGGGCGCCGTTGGCGCCCCCAGCCAGGAAGTTCACGAGCGGCTTGCCGCTACACAACTTCCTTCCGTCGGAGAGGATGGTGGCACCGGTGTGCCGGAAAGCGGCCCGCACCTTGCTCACCATCGTCGCCACCTTCCCCCTCTGCGAAGGGATCCCGACGCCCGCTGTAACCCTGTAGGAGGGAAACTGGAAGCAAAGGTTGCGGGGGACTCTCTCCGCCGCCTGACGCACCCTCTGAAACTCCGGCCCTCTGAAGGCGTTGAACGGCAACCCCTTCGCGTAGATCCACTGCAGCCACGCGTCAGTGAACTCGCTCAACTTCTCCTTCGCGTACAGCTCGTCGATCGTCGTCTGATGTGCCCTCTTCTCCCTCGTCGTGTCCCGCACGTCAATGTCCTCCTCCCCCACTTTCCTCTTCTCCCTCCTAGCGCGCTCCAACTCAGGTCGTGATGCCCTCGCACCTCGTCCCGCCGGGCCATCCGCTCCCGATGTCATCACTACCTCCTCCCCAGGCAGATCGGGCTCGCAGCGTCCAGCTGCCTTGTCTCGCATCCCCGCCTCACCGACCCTGCCCTCGCCCGCCTCCTGCGCATCGAGGAAGTCCTACATCTCGTCCCTCTCTACCTCGTCTGCCCGTGGTCGATCTCGTATCCCGAATCCCCTCGTCTGCCATCCACCTCTGGACCCGCTGAGCAGTCTTGTCCTCGAACGTGTACCCCGTGTTGTTCCAGATGTCCGCGAGAACTCTCATCCTCGCAATCTTGCAGTACTTGGGCTGCGTGAAATGGCGAGCGGCCTTCCTCCCATTCCCTTGCCACACATGGTTGCAAAGTTGCAACGCAACTTCCGGTCCCCATGCGTCTTCGACTGGTCCCCGACAAGTTGCCCCGCGGTGACAAAGTTCCAAATCGAGTTGCCCCGCCTAAACCTCGCCATCTCCCTATCAGACTGCGGGATGAATCCCCCACCTGCAGTCCCCCGTGCACCGCCAATCCCCTCACCGCTGGGCCCCACACCACCCGTCATCGTCCCAGAACCCCCCCCCCCCCCCCCCCCCCCCCCCCCCCCCCCCCCCCCCCCCCCCCCCCCCCCCCCCCTTCCCTACGCACAGCGCAC